GAGAGAGAGAGAGAGACAGACGAGAGCGCGGGGTTCAGGCACACTGCCCGCCGCTCCCTGCCTCTGCAGCTAAGCTCCTCCAACCCACGGCGCGGCTTAGGGCGGCTCAGCACAGCTCACCGCCCCAAGCGGGAGACCCGGCGAGTGAGGCTCGCTCGGCGCGCTAACTAAGCCAGGCACAGACGGTCGTCTCGCTTTGAGACGGCTGAGCCAAGCGACCTGCCGATTAAAGAAAATCAATTTTGGCGATTGGATACTTTGCTTCGGCCTCACAGACCAAATTGGATTTCGGCTTTCTCGGAAAGGTCCGATGCGCCCTCGAGGTGTCGAGACCCTGATCCGAGTCGGAAACAAGGCTCGCGCTCTGCTCCTCCTCTTCGTCATCTGCCTCTGCATCTGCCTCTGACCGGCAACGACCGATACTTTCTCCCTTCGGCGTGCTTCGGAAGAGCCGTCCTCTTGATATATACGCTTCCACGCACCCATCAACAGCGCATCCCCAGTCACGTCTCTCCGCACACCGCCTCCACCATGCTCTCAAAGACCTCCACATCGTCGGGGCTCACCCGGGCCCTCGTCCGCAGCTTGGCCAGGCCGTCAATCGAGTCGGCACCCTGCGTCAGACTCCATCGTAACCTCACCAACCAGGCGTCTCCGCTCCAAGAGACCAATGCCGTCCGCGAAATTCACAAGCTCATGGCCGAGGTGAGGGGCGCTCACCCACAAAAGCTCAAGCTCAGCATGCCCAGTAAGTCTTGACGTCGGTTCGAGAGCCTTGCTGCATCGACTGACCATTTCGCCCCTACCTATCTGCTCAACAGCACGCCTTGCTCCCCGCAGAAGCTGGATGAAAGAGATGCAGTCCCAATCGCAACAGTCCTCCTCGCCCGAGTCGTCATCTACCCCTTCGGCACCCTCGCAGTATGAGCTTCCGGAATCCATGCTCAAGCCAAAGCGTATGCAGGACAGCTACGTCGAGCTTTACTTGCCCTTCACCGAAGACCCCGAATTGCTCGAAAAGTACATCGCCACCTCGGGCCTCATTCGACTCGGCAAGGTCCTCGAAGATCTCGACAGTCTGGCGGGCGGAAGTGAGTCTCCATCCAGGTCTGCCTCCTCTCTCCGCATGCGACACGTACTCACACTGATCTTGAGCTTCCCCATCCATTGACACTCCAGTCTCATACCAGCACGCCCTCGGCGGTCGACCGGGCGAAGTATCCGCGCCCATCTACATTGTGACCGCCTCGGTGGATCGACTCGACCTCCTGGCGCCGCTCACCGCCGATGCCAACTACCGTCTGAGCGGCCACGTGATCTACGTCGGCTCGAGCAGCATGGAGGTCTTCGTGAGCATCGAGCAGCTCACACCGCCCACGCAGCCCAACAAGATCTGCCTTACGGGTCGCTTCACCATGGCCGCGCGCAACGCCCACACGCTCCGCAGCCAACGCATCGCGCCGCTCATACTCGAGACCGACGCGGAGAAGGCGCTGTTTGCGATGGGCGAGAGCCACAAGAATCGCAAGCGCGCCGAGGCCGCTTCGTCGCTCGAAAAGGTGCCGCCGAGCAAGGAGGAGGCCTTCCTGCTCCACAGCCAGTACATCCGCGGTCTGCATGCCGGCATGTTTGCCAACACCGACGAACTGCACGGTCCCACGCTCAAGGCTGACCCCGTCACCAGTGCAGATGGATCGACGCTCGTTCCCGTGCGTCGCACTAGCATGAGCACCACCATGCACATGCATCCGCAGCAACGCAACGTCCACCAGAAGATCTTTGGTGGATTCCTCATGCGCTCCGCCTACGAGCTTGCCTGGATGGTCTCCGGTAAGATGCGCCCCCACCCTTTCCCCTCCAACTTTGATCGACTCGTCACTAACGCATGTTCTGCTTGGCCGCTTTTGCAGCATCGCTGGTCAACCGTCACGTGCAGTTCCTTTCGCTCGATGCACTCTCGTTCCACGCTCCCGTGCCCATCGGTGCGATGCTGCAGCTCTCGTCTCAGATCGTATACACCTCGGAACCAGAGCAGCATCCACACGGCCACACCATCGCCGGCGTCACCGTGCTCGCCGAAGTCGTCGACCTCGAAACGGGCGAACGCAAAAAGAGCAACACCGTACGTATCCCCCCATCGCCCCCTCGAGTCTCTGCTACCTCTCCGCTAATCTTACCCGTCTTTACTGGCTCCATCACAGTTCCACTTCAGCTTCGACCTCGGCACAACCAATCTCCAAGTGCTGCCGCAGACGTACAAGGAGGCCATGGAGTTCATCGAGGGCAAGCGACGTGTCGATCTCGGCACCGAAATGCGTCGTCTCTACCAGGACGACCATCCCGCACCAACCGCAGACCACTGAAGATCCGCATCGCACATCCCCAACACAAAGCCAGCTTCGATCCAGTGCTGAAATGAATTGTACAGGAATGCGATGCAAACGTAACGATAAAACAACATACGTACGGCGCTATCCTCGTGTCGCTGAGATGTTCAGCGCGATGGTGCTGGTGAGGCATTCGACAGTGGCGAGTCGATTCGGCTTCGGCTTTCGCCTGCGCGAGGCTCGACATCCACGCCGCTAGGGCTCACACCAGCAGGCCCGCTACCTGCCGCTCCGGCGCCAAACTGCTCCTGCAGCATGACGAGACGCTTGTTGATGCTCTTGACGTACTTGTCGATCATGAGGATGCTGCCCTCGCTCAGGCTCAGTGCATCCTCGCCCGGATCCAGCAGCGACGACAGCATCGAGCTCGCCGTCTCGTACGCCAGCAGACAGTGCGCCGGGTCCCACCCACTGCCTTCGCGATTGTTCTCCAGCTCGTCCGTCGCTGCCGCCCTGGCCACCTCCACCGCCTTGTCAAAGATGAGCTTGTCCACCTGCTGCGCAGATTCGGGCAGCTCGTTGCATCGCGACCGCGCAAAGTCCGCCTTGTCGTACACCTCGTTGAAGCGCGCGCGCAGCCACTGCACCACCTCGTTGAGTTCGGCACTCGTCACCGCCGCCACGCCCGGGCGCGAGCGCGACTCGACATGCTTGCGCGTCAACCCAATCGCCCGTTGCAGGAACGCCAGACTGCGCACGTACAGAATCAGCGCCTCCGCTGCAGCCGCCTCGGCAGCAAGCGGATCCAGCGCAGACGACGACGAAGACGATACCGACCCTACCCTCCGCGCTGAGCCTTGGGCACTGGCGCGGCCCGGAGACACGCCCGTCGCGGTCGAGGCATCCAGATCCTGCGAGAGCTGATGCGGTCCGTCGGGAAAGTGGTGGGCGAGCTTGGAATCGGCAAACTCGGAAAGTACGAATGCCTTCTGGCCCAGATCCTCGAGCGTGCTCAACAGGCCCACCTCGGCCTCGTCGTACGTCTCGGTTGAGGACCTCAAGAAGCCGCGCCTTTGAGCACGTGTCCTCACCAGCGCAGCCGCATCTCGCAGCGACACGCCCGACGGAACGCCAAACAGGCGCAGCGACGCCATGCTGATCGCTTTCGCCAAAGCGCTCGAAGGACCGCTACCCGAGGCGCCTGGCAGACCCATCCCAGCGAGTTTTTGGCCGAGCACGCTGACGTCTTCCCTGGGCGACGACGAGGACGGGCCATCGCGACGCGAGGTTTGGGTGCTTGCGGCTGCATCGCCTGCAGTGATGACCTGGCCAGCGTTACGAGTCGAGGGTGAGCCCGACGATGACAGACTGGTTCGGCGTGGTACCGAAGAGGGCCTTGCGCCCGGCGGAAGCGCAAAGGCGCCAGCGGTCGGGGACGAGCTGACGTTGCCGGCAATGCGGATAGGCTTGGAGCTAGAGGCGACCGCAGCCGACGTCGGAGGTGAGATGTCGGACGGCGTGGGAAGCGCTCCCGAACTGAGCCGCGACAGGCGCGAGGGCCGTCGCGAAGCGAGTGACATTCTGGTCTGCGGCGATGCGGCCAGCTCGTCTGCCAGAGCATTGACCTCGACATTGCGTTTCTCAATCATGACGTACTCCTTTCCGAGGAAGCTGTCTTCGCCTTCGGCCGAAGCAGCTGGCTGATTGTGTGCCTCACGTCCATCGGAAGTGAGCAACTTATCTGGAAGACCGGGCGAGCTTGGCGTGCGGGCCATGTTGGGAGGATCGCGCCTGTCGACGTCGTCGAGACGGCGGTCCGGCTCGCCTGTGACATACTTGGCGGAGAACGCTCGTGGAATGGTACGCACCGGCCTGGATGCCTCCGATGGCGTCCGGTTGAGCGTTGCAGTCGGAGCGTTGGCGGATTGAGGGCTGTCGGCTCGTCGGGTCGAGGGTGTCTCGTCCTGCAGAGGTTTGGGCTCAGCTCGGGGCCGAGGCGATGGTGAGCTGGGCGTAGCAGGTGAGCTGGCTGCTTGCGGTCGCTCGCCTGCGGATGTGGAGGATGTCTGTTGGATGTCCGAGCTTGATGGCAAGATGATGCTGCGATCGCTCCTCTGGAGATCCTCGTACCTCTCCACGGCCTCTGCTTGAGCGTGCGGGCGGATGAAGGCCTTAAAGTCGCGAATGACAGGGCTGTTGAAGAAGTCGTCGAAGCTCATGCGGCCGACGGGGCGCTGGCGGAGAAGCTGGCGAATGAGGGTCTTGACATCGTCTGACACCGGATGCGGGGGAGGTAGCGGGGCCTCGCCGAGTTCCTGTCGACGTGCAGCTTCTCTGGCGAGCGAGCCTGCAGAGCGCTCGTCGGGGAACTTGATGCGGTCCTCGCCACGCTCGATGCGCTTGAGGAGCTCGACGTGGTTTGCGGCCTTGAAGGGGGGCTTGCCCACGGTCATCTCAAAGAGAACGGCGCCGACGGACCACAGGTCTGCTTTTGCGTCGTATTTTTCAAAGCGGAGGATCTCGGGGGCCATGTAGAGTGGCGAGCCGCAGAGGGTCTCTGCGAGCGTGTTGACGCTGAGATGGCGAGCGAAGCCGAAATCGGCGACCTTGACCTGAGGGATCTCTGCTGGGTTGCCGAGAGCGAGGAAGGCGGCGTCGGGCGGTTGGAGCAACAGGTTCTGGGGCTTGATGTCGCGATGAACAATGTCGCGGCCGCGCATGAACTCGAGAGCGGCGGCGAGCTGGGTGAGGATGGAGCGTACGATTGTCTCGTTGAGGCCTCCGTCTGCGGGATGCGGATAGGTTGGTGGAGCGCGTGTGAGTGCGCCTGGTCGCGGGATGCCTGCACGGTCATAGATGTCGAAACGCTTCTTGATGTACTGGGAGAGATCGCCGGATGGGCAGAAAGCCATGACGAGGAAGATCTGGTGCTCTGTCTTGAGGCATTCCTTGAGCTCGACGATGTTGGGATGGTGAATTGCTTTCAGGATTGCGATCTCGCCCTCGAGGTTCTCGAGTAGCTTGGGCGTGAGCTTCTTGCGCGTGACGATCTTGATGGCGACTGGCTCGCGGGGCTGCAGGCGGTAGCCCTTGTGGACGACGGCGAAGGAGCCCTTGCCGATCTCATTTTCGACAACAAAGTCGCCGATACGTGATTCATCTCGAGCGGGTGTACCCTTGGACATGGGGAAGGGCGAGGACCAAGGGAAGAGTGGCGATGTCCCTGCAATTCAGCTGTGCTGGGCCAGATAGGGCGAGATGGCGGGAGCGGTGCGCTCCAACCAAGGTGTTGGCAATGGCTTGCACTCCGCTGGTGCGAGATGGACCGGCGTTGGACGGAACGAGGAAGCCAAGCACACTAGCAGAAAGAGGACGAGGGGCACGCGCGTTGGCTTAGGATGGCGGGCCGAGCGAAAGGTATCGCAGGGGATGATAAGGGCGCGACGGCCGACCGGCGAGATGCTGAGGCTTTTGCGTGGACCCTGGGATGGTGTCAGGAGATAGGCGAGAGACGCAGGCAATGAACGACCGGCCAGCCGAGAGTCGGCGGGTGAAAGAGGACGAGGGCGAGGTGAGGGGATAGGCAGATCAATTGCCAGTGGTGAAAGTCAGCTGAGCTGCTACGGCACGGATGGTGGTGGTGGTGGTGGTGGTGGTGATGGAGGCAACCGACGGGCTGGTGCTGCTGTCGGAGGTGAGGATCGAGGATGGAGTGCTGAGCGCGATGCGAGTCACACTCAAGGCTATCAAGGCGAGACGCGGGGATGTGCAGGCGGGATGTGGCTGGCTGGGTGGAGGACGGAGAGCCCCTGTGACTGGATGCTGTGCGTGATGGCACCACGGACGGTGTAGCTGCCACAGCCCAATCTGTGCGCGCCAGCCGGCGTATCTCGAAATCCAATTCAAAAGTGATGCACCGGCCAGTCGAGCAGTGGAGCGAGCCGCCCCTGCTGACGCACAGCCAGCCAGCCGATTCAGGGTCCTGCCTCGCCTCTCCTCGGAGCTCAGCATGAGAGCGCGCCGAGTGGGCGGGTGTGTGTGTGCCTGAGCCGGAGCGCCTCTCCAATCTCGCAGATCCGCCCGCGCGCACCCCAACTCGGGCTCAGTCGCGCGCCCTCGGATCAGATTCACATTTTTTTTTGGCCGCGATGCCTCCACACCGGAGGAAATCCAATCCTCGAGTCGGAGAATGTATGTTAGCGAACAGATCCCACATTCTTCCGCTTTGCGCATCTCTCGAGAACAAAAAAAGTTCGAGCACGAAGCAGCCCAAAGAAATTTGTGGAGAGCTGAAGCTTCTTAACACCGATGCAGCTCAGCCACACTCAGCAGCCACAGTCTTGGTCCGAAATGCATTGCCTGCTGGAAGCCTGCCGGATTCGACGAGCTTAAGAGCGGCTCTGCTCCGACCGTGCTTGCTTCACTACCACCGACTGCCCTTGCTCCAGCTCTAGCTTTCACGACAATGAGCTCTACGCAACCCCATCAGGAAGACGCACACGACGACGTCGATTACGGCTCGGATCTCGCCAACGATGACATCCAGGAGGTAGTGCCCGAGCACGACGAGGAGGGCGACGTCCCCATGGACGACGACAGCGACGATGAAGGTGCCCATGCTGGCGAGCAAGGCGAGCAAGGCGACGGCCCTGGTCCCGGGCAAGAAGAGTTCATCGACAACTCGATAGCCGCTTTCTACTCGCACCGCAAGTCGGTCTTCTCCGTCTCGCTCCATCCCTCTTACCCCAACCCTCCCCTGGCGCTCAGCGGTGGCGAAGACGACGGCGGCTGGATCTGGAACACTCAGGACGGCTCCGAAGTCGTCCGTCTCGGCGGCCACACCGACAGCGTCACCTCGGCGCTCTTCAACGCCGCCGGCGACCTCGCAGCCACAGGTGGCATGGACGGCAAGGTGCGCGTCTGGCGCAAGCGCTCCGACGACTTCAAGTCGTGGGAGTTCCTCACCAACCTTGAAGGCCCCGATGAGATCGTCTGGATCGACTGGCATCCCAAGGGCAGCGTGCTCGCCGCCGGCGGCGCCGACTCCACCGTCTGGATGTGGCAACTCCCCAAGGGCATCGTCATGAACGTCTTCTCCGGCCACAGCGACGCAGTCTCGTGCGGTAGCTTCACCCCCGACGGCAAGCGTCTCATCACCGGCTCCGAAGACGGCACTCTCATCGTCTGGGACCCCAAGACCGCAGAAATCACCTCCAAGGTCCAGACCCACATCGACGGCGGCCTCACTCAGCTCGCCGTCTCGCCCGACGCTCGTGTCGTCGTCATCGGCGGTGCCGCCGGTGACGTGCGCGTCATCAACATCGGTGCGCTCGACAACGGCGGAGCGGCATCGGTCGTCGCATCGCTCGCCGGCCACGCAGACGGCGAGTCCATCGAGGGCATCCAGTTCATCGACGTCGGCGGCGGCAACCGCACTGGCCACGTCATCACCGCCTCCACCGAGGGCAAGGCCATCGTCTGGGACCTCTCCTTGGCCAAGATGCGCTGCGAGGTCGTGCACGACGCTGCCATCACCGGCGTCGCCCTCCACCCGGGCACCACGCTCTTCTCCACCTCCTCCGCAGACCACACCATCAAGACCTGGGACGCAAGGACCGGCGGCTGCGTCGCCACACAGCACGGCTTCACCGACGGCGTCCTCGCTCTCGCCGTCGGCAAGGACGACGGCTTCACCCAGGGTGCAGACACCGGTGGCATCGGCGCTTACACCAACACTGCCAACGCAAGAGGCTGGAAGCTCATCGGTGCAGGCGACGAGGGTGTCGCGCTCGTCTTCCGCGTCTAAGCCTGCAAACCCATCATCAGAGCATACCCTCGCGGCATTAGAGTCTTGCTGTGCGCTCCGTGCAATCACAACTTCTGCTGCATCATCACCATTTATCGTCTATCGATCGGATCAACCGACTGCGACCCTCATGAGTCAACGCCCTGAGTCGCTTCGGATGAGCCGACTTGAGCAAGGCCAAACAAGCATATATACTGAGCTCTCCTGACCCTTCCTCTCCTCCCCTCCCACCATGTTGCTAGCCGCCAAGCTCTTCAGCATGCCTTCCGCTAAACAGATCAAACACAGCCACCAAGAGATGCCAAGCCGACCCGGCTCAGCAGCCTCTGTGGCTTCTTCCACATCCAGCTTCCGCATCCCGGGCATTCAGGCTTTGGCACCTCCCGCTTCTCGACAGTCAACACCCTCAGATCCCAGCTTCGTCTTGCCTGCCTCTTATGTTCGTCTGTTCACCCCAGATACGGACGCGCAGGCTACATCGCAGTCTCGAACTCTTCATATACCTTCCCGCCAGAATGTAGACTGGCTCAACACGCATAGCGCCCCACCGCCCAGAGAGTTTCTCGAAAGATCACAAACTCCTCGGGAACATCCACAGCCTCTCCAAGTCAATCAGCGGCTTCACGGCCAGGGACATTTTGCAGCGTCGGAGAGTCTTCGTCAATCAGGCCCAACAGACGAACCGCTTCGTCCCTTTACCGCCTCATCATACCATCGATCCAGGCTTGTCACCGCCGACGGATCCTCCTCCAACTACATCTGTGCCGTCCTCGAAAATCGCGGAACCGGCCGCGAAGTTGGCATTGCTTCGTTGGAGAGAGACACAGGTACGCTTCCTAGGCAAGATCGCCTCTACCCCCGCTCCAGAAACTCAAGCACTAACGCTAGAGGACCGTTGCTTCGGACAACCAGGCACGTGCGTGATCACCCAATTTGCAGACACGCCTACTTACGTCCGCACCATCCATCACATGTCGCTCTACCCACCGAGCGTGCTCCTGGTTCCGGCTTCAGGCGTGGTCACTCGCAACGGACCATCCTCTGCGTCGACTTCACGCGCTTCCAAGCGTATAAAGATCCGGGATCAAGGAGCAAGCGAGCCAGACTTTGAAGATGCTCCTACGTCAGACTACAGGAACGGCACTTCGGTACTCATCCGCTGCCTAGAAGAGCTCTTTGACATCCAGGCTTCTCCGATCCCGCGCAGATCCTGGGACTACCAAGAGGGTGAGCACGCGTCGTCACTCTCTCCGCGACTTGATCGGTCTCTCGTTCGCTAATCGTTCGCACATCCATCCAGGCGCACGTTATCTCGATCGTCTCCTGGTCGATGACATTGATCAAGCAAATGAAGCCAAGGAGATCGATCTCGGGCTATCATCACGCGACCGTCAGACTGCACCGCTTGCCAGTCAGGGATCAGAGCGTCCTGCCACGTCGCGTCCTCAGACGGGCCTTACTTCGCTTGACTTCAGCGCAAAAGCCTCGACGCGAGCAGCGATCCTGGTGGCGGTCGCCGACAAGTTTTTCCTTCTTTCGGCAGTGGCGGCGCTATTCGAGTACGAAACTCCGGCAGGCGGATGGCCACGCACTAGGGATTCCTGCAACATTTGCTGACCACAGCTTCTTGATGCCGCACTGACTGTAGCTTCTTCTCACAGAGCTTGAACCGAATCTTCACTCCAAGGTCACTGCGAATCCAGTTCGTCGTTCCTGAAGGTCAGTTGGAAGCATCCATCAATCCGAACAAAAGCTGCGGAAGCTGAGGAAGCTCATCTGTCATCATCACTCGGCAGGCACCATCTTGATCAACAGCAACACGGCGCATGACCTCGAACTGGTCCGCAATCTCATCAATCCCAGCTCGAAGGACTGTCTTTACGGTAGGTAGCCCCGCTATCGATACAGCAAAAAGCCAAGGAGCTTTCCATTGAAACTCTGTTATCACTCCCACGCAGGTCTCCTGGATCATTGTGCCACTCCAATGGGTCGCCGACTTCTCAAGATGAACATTCTCCAGCCGATGAAAGGTATGTATTTGGGAGCCTTCTACAGACCGATGCACACGCTCTGAGTCTTTGTCCCTCAAATCTCTATTCTTTCAGATCTCGATGCGATCGCCGTCCGACAGGATGCTGTAGCAGAATGTATCCGAGACGAGGTGAGAAGCGCCCCAATGATCTTTATGATTTCGCCGAGACTCATGGTGATAGCATACATTCTCATTTGGATGAACAGGAGCGATTCCATGCCATCCGCCAGAGCTTGAAGCCTATTCGAGATGGTGGCATCGACCTAGACAAGCTCATTAACGCTCTATCGTGCTGCGAGCGCCGCGTCGCAACTCCTCGGAGCGAGACAGAGAGGAAGGTCGGAAGCATTCTGAGCTTGAGGACACTGATCCGCTCGCTATCCTCTGGTAAGTCTGAGGGTAATCTACGATCAGAAGATTCTTCGGGCCGAATATTTTGAGCCTTGCCTTCCAATGCTCACTTTGTTGCTGCCATCTTATCCAGCTCGAGCTGCTCTCCAGAACGCTTCAAGTGGTCTGCTGCAGGCTGTCCAGCTGGTAAGCTGATCGGCAAGTCGCGAATCAGTCATGACTTTGCGCTTGGCTAAGTCGCTCAAACTTGCTCCGTCTGCATCTTCGCAGTTCCTTGACTCCGAGGAGCTCGACCTGATCGCCGAAGCTATTTATCAGACCATCGACGACGACATCATCCATGCCAAAGGAGGCCTAAGTAGTCGAAACGCTAAGCTCGTGCGTCCCACCAAGCGTGATTCGGAGCCAGGTTGAGCCAGATTGAGCCAGACTGACGCCAGAATACGCTCCGACTCAGTATGCTGTTCGAGCGGAGAAGAGCCCACTGCTCGACGTGGCGAGAGAGACGTACAAGGAGAACATCAAGTGAGTCCTCGCTCACAATGACCGAGTCACTGCAGCATTGCACTGAGCTGACCTTCGACCGTCAAACGTCCACGCAGCGACATCTTGCAGCTTTGCGAAGCGGAATCTCGTAAGTCGTACCGGAAAGGCAACCAACAGTAAAAGACAAGACGCTGACCCTTTGTCGAACCTTCGAGGTCCTCAGAGGAGACTGGCTTGTCCATCACGCTCAAGATGGTTCATACGGGCTTCCTAGTGAGCAAGGGGCGGCTGCACCGGCTGTGTGACGATCAAAATTGCGAGCTGACAATGGCGGTCCCTGCACAGTTCCAGACAAAGTGCGAGCGGAGCCGCATCAAAAGCCTTCCGGAGCGTTTCACCAACATCACCCCGGCAAAGACGGGCAACACCGTCACCATGTTGACACTGACCCTCGTGAGTGCTAACGACTGGATCAACACCGTCTCGAACGCTTCGCGGGCACTGACAAAACATCGAACGTTTGGACCTCCAGAAGAAGCTCAACGCCCGACTCGTGGAATCGATGAACGAGGTCTTGACCATGTCGGACACCATCATCGATGAACTCATCGAAGACATCATTGGCAAAGTGGCGTCTCTGTACAAGGTGAGCTTGACTCTCGTTGCGTCACCGTCATCGCTCTTGGCATCGACTGACTCGGAGCGTGCAAAATGCGATGAGTGCAGGTGTCCGAGGCGCTCTCGCTGCTCGACATGGTGGTGAGTTTCGCGATCGTCTCGATCGCCAACGACTACGTCCGACCGGCTTTTGGCGACTCGCTCGACATCCGCAGCGCACGGCACCCGATCCTGGACTGTGTCGACGTCCCGGCTTCTGGCTCTTCGGCCATCTTCATGCGACGCCGACGAGCGTTTGTGCCCAACGACATCTACCTCGGTGCGGGCGAGCGGGTGTGCCTGATCACAGGCCCCAACATGTCTGGCAAGAGCACCTTCCTGCGTCAGATCGCACTCATCACTGTGCTTGCAGGCATCGGGTGCTTCGTCCCGGCGACGCGCGCTACGCTGCCCATCCCCGATGCCATCCTGAGCCTGCTCACCCACGAGGACGATGCGACGCAGAACCTGTCGACGTTTGCGACCGAGATGCGCACGTCGGCCTTCATCCTCAGCGTGGGCTCGCCTCACTCGCTCGTCATCCTCGACGAGATGGGCCGCGGCACGAGTCCCGACGAGGGATCGGCCGTAGCAACGGCGATCGTCGAAGAGCTGCTCAACGACAAGGGGAGCACCGTGTTCTTCGCCACGCATTTTGGCGAGCTCGTCGACGGCTTCGACGGCAAGGACGGCGTCGTGTGCCAGCATCTGCACGTGAGCACGGTGCAGGAGCGCCTGGACGTCAGCCTCGTCTTCCATCACAAGCTCCACCTGGGTCCCGGGCTGGACACGCACTACAGCTTGCAGGTGGCCAAGATGATGCGCTGCTTCGGCGACGGCTTCCTGCAGCACGCACAGCAGATCGCCGAGGCGGAGCAGGCGAGCTACGCCAGCCGCGCACGAGAGGTGAGCCCGGACACGCGCGCCAGGAGGACGATGTTGCGCAAGATCGTGCGAGACCTGCGCCGCTTGTTGCACGAATCACGCACCGAGGCAGCTGGCGAGGGCGGGGGGCCAGAGCACCAGGGCGAGTCGCTTGCGCAGAAGTTGACGCTTCTGCGGCTGAACGCAGCGACGGATCTGGCATCGACGTTCGCAGGGTAGTACTCGATCCTGATCGCTGCAAAAAGAATGTGGCATCAGGGCGTCTGAACGTATGCTGAACACGACAATGGGTGCAAGAAAAGAGCAATTATTTGGGTTGCGTACGGAGCGCTAATGTTACAGTTGCGAGGTTACAATCGAAGGCGGACATGGACGAAGGAGGATACGCCGCATTCGAGCTTGGCTAGAATGCCAGTCTCGCATGAACGACGGCTTTAGATGAGGAAGCGTTCGATGGCGAGCTTGACGGTCTGGATCTGGCTCTGGAGCTCGCGGGCCTCGTTGGTGGTGACAGAAGCCGAGACGACGGGGCGGGAGACGCCGCAGGCCCTGCCGAGGGCGGTCTTGGAGGGGACAAAGACGTAAGGGACGTTCTTGTCCTCGCAGAGGAGGGGCAGGTGGAGGACGATCTCGATGGGCTCGACGTCGGCGGCCATCACGATGAACTCGCAGATGCCGCGGTTGAGCGTCTTGGTGGCCTCGTTGGCACCCTTCTTGAGCTGCTTGTAGTGCGAAGCCTGCTGGATGAGGTCGAGGATCTGGTTGGTGAGCGTGGCGTCGGCCAGCGGGAAGGCCTTGGGGTTGGGAGCAGACATTGTTGCGGAAGTGTGCGAGACGGAAAGTGGTGGGATGGAGTTGTAGTTGCGAAAGCAAGACCTCACACCGGTGTCAGGAGGGATCACGGGTCTAAGAAAGATGAAAGATGGATGTGGAAGTAAGAGAGAGAGGAAGGGATGGTGCACAGCGACAAGGCTTTCTTTGGATGCATCGCTGCACCCTTCGAAAAAAATTCACCCTTGCAGAGGCACAGAGAGAGAGACCGACTGAGCGCCGTTCAATTCTTCGTCCGCCACTGCAGCTTGAAATTCTCCCAATCTGCCTTAGTCACGCTGACAGCCATCTACTTTCCCGATTTCCTTCACACTTCCCGATCCTATTTTGGTCACCTCCACATCGGGATGCGTCATGACATACGCGCAGCTGTCAGTCGAGTGCCCTGCAGGCCGGCCTCGTTGTGGAGGCGAATGCCACTCGATCCTCGCTGCAGGGCGGCCGAGCGGCGGATGCAGTCGATCGAGCTGTCAAGCTGCTGGGGTGGGCACACGAGACCCTAGACATGACATCGTCGACCGCAAGCGCACCGCAAGCGCAGGCGATTACCAATCCGTGCGTTTCACCGTTGCACACCGGCGCTTCTGGGCTTCGACTCTTGCACATCTTGTCTTGGAACCAGCACTTGCATTGCCCTCACCATCTCTTGCTTCCACGATACCAGCATTCACCATGACACTCAACACTCTACTCATGCAGCGCGCTTCCATGCTGCCGACCGTCTCTCGTCGCGCATTCGCCGCCGCCGCGCGCGTACACAATGCACAGCCGCAGCTCATCCGCGAAGGACCTGCTGCGCCCAAGAACAACAAGGAGCGATTCGACGACGGTCGTGACGATGCGCACTATCCCGGCGTGCAGCAGAAGATCAAGGCGTTCAACGAGACGTACCCTAACCGACCCAATGCGTCGCGACCTTCACCGGAGCCCGAGTCTCCAGGTGGTCACGAGGGCGCATTTGCTGACCACCGCGGACGAGGCGAACGTACCGAGCACGAGCAGCTCAAGGGGTCGGAAGAAGCAGCCGAGACACGCACGCACAAGCGCGTTGGTCAGATCGCCCGCAACGCCGCCCAGTCGCTGTTCGGGTCCAAGTCGTTCTCCACCTACGCCGCGCTGTCTGCCCAACCACCCGCTGCGCCTTCGCGAACCTCTTCCGCTGCGAGCGAAAAGGGAAGTGTAAGTGACCATCCCGGGTACACGACTGCAGATGCACCCATCGATTCGCGTCCCCCGTCCGAAATGCCCAAGCCGGCCGAAGGTGCCATGCCGTCAAGCAGCGTATCCAACGCAAGCACCAAAGCTGCCTCCCCCCACCCGGAGGTGCATACGATGGCCAAGGGCGCACAAACCAGCGGTGCAGGCCAGGACGCCATCCACCCAGAGGACAGGTCGCAGAGCACCTGGGGCGCGAACGCCCGATCCGCCCAGTTCAACCCGGACGAGGGAAAGAGACAGCCCCTCCACCATGGCGGCTCCCACGAAGGCGGCTTCGAGGACAACGGCAAGTCGCGCACTTGATCTCCCCCCGCCCCAGCACCCTACTTCGTGTCCGGAATTCAACTGCATTGAATCGTCCAAATCTTGGCTGTGTCGAAACTGAGATTGATGCTGCAGGTGTCATTGAGGCTGTGGCAACAATTGAGATCAATCGCGTTTGTCAAGAGGGTATAGCGCATCTCGGACTCAAGCGTCGTACGATGGCGGATGTGGCGATGTGCCGTACGCGGGGGGTCTATGATCCGCACTGAGCTCGGCGGCCTGTACGCCAGTGTGTACCTGGCGCGCACCATCTGCGCGTCCCACCCTGCCTCCTGCCCTCGGGATTGCGCTGCGAGGCGCAGTCGCACCCACACCCGTGTGCCCGTGCCGAACGGCATGGTCAAAGCTGGGTGCTGGATCTGGATGCGCCGACCCGTCCGCATACGGCGGTGGCTCATGTTGCACGCCTGCACCCTGCGCCTCACCCGACATGGCCGCTTCGTACGACGGATGCTGCTCCTCCCCATCCGGCTGCATCGACGACGATGCACTGCCGACCAAATACGCGGGGTGGGCCTCTGCGTGCTCGACATCAGATCGCGCATCCATGTGCATAGCTTGCAAGCCAGCCGAGCCGCTTGAGCTTCCACCTTCGGTAACCGATCGACTCATGAGAGGAGACAGAGGCGGTGGTGGATCGTCTTGGTGCGACGACAGATCGGCGCCCGCATCCATATCCGTGGAAAGCAGGTACGACGACGAGGATACACCCATGCTGCGGGTGTCACCCGCATCAATTGGAGGCGGAGGCGGAAAGGCGTCGTCCGACATGCCGCCCATGTCCGGGTACGGATCGTCGGGATGACGGTTCGTGTGCCGCGGCATGGCAAAGCCCACACCCTGCACCTCGACCTCGACCTGCAGGTCGTTGCGACTCTCGAGCAGCGTGGGTGGCGGACCGTCGTCGTGCGCCGAGGCGTCCGAAACCTCGAGGAACCTTCGCAGCTGCTCGAGACGCCCTGTGTGGTCGGCATAGTCGGTACTGGTCCCCGCGCTGCCAGCATCGGCAGCATCCATGAGCTCGTGCAATCCGCGCCCGACATCTTCGTAGCCATCGTACTCGTCGTCCATGCCGAAATCGAGCAGGCCGGACGTGCTTGCGTCCACGCGCGAGCTCGACGCACCCGCCGCTTGGTCATCCGCCAGCATGCGCGCCTTCTCGGACCGCTTGAGCCTTTCCTTTTCCTCTAGCGCGCTGTTTCCCCAAGCCGTATCCTGCTCGAGATGCTCGAGCGCCCCAGCGGCACCGGGCAGGATCTTGACGGGGCGTCGGAGTGTGATGTCCCTGTGCTCGCCGCGGCCGCCCTGGATGCCGATCTTGATGCGCACCTCGAAGCTGACTTTGTGCATGAGCGTTTCCTGGCTGATGCTCTCGCAGCCGCCCCCGCCGCCGCGCCCAAACACGGGGCCGGAGGCGAGCGCATCGTGGTCCGGATGAGGATGCGGCATGTTGGCGCGATCGAAGGGCGGATGGAGCGTCAAGCGCAACAGCACGGGCCGCTGCGAGTGGAAGCGACACAGCTTGCCGCTGTGCGCGAGTAGCGCCTCGTGGGCGTCCGGATGCGACGCGGTGTTGGCGTTGGGATCGGCAGAGACGCCCTCGGCCGCTCGCGCTGGCCGCTTGACGTGGATGATGCGTACGAGGTCGGCCTCGACTGCACGCAGCTTGAGCCCCTTTTCGGCGACGCTGGCTGGGTCTGGTGGCGGGATGCGCACGCGAATGTCGATGGGCTCTGCACGTCGGAAGATGGTGCGGTTGATCTGGGCGTAGACGAGCGTGGGCGTCTGCTCGACCCAGTTGTGCGGCTGCAAGGTGAATTCGTCGGTGGGCAGTGCAGCCCCGTCGAAATCGGCAAGCTCGACCTCGTCCAGACGGCCCGGGCGCATGTAGCGGACGAGGTGGACGGGGACGCACTTGACGGCGTGAGGCAGCTTGCCGGCGTCGTGGCTGAAGAGCTGTGCGGTGATGGTGTAGGTGAGCGAGCTGTGGCGGAGGTGTACGCAGTGAGGCAGGTCCTCAGTGAGCGGGAAGGAGAAGGGCATGGTGGAGGGCAGGGTCGGAAGGGCAGCGCTGGACGAGGTGGGCTCCCTTTCTGCATCCCAGAGCACGAGGGTGTGTGAGAAGAGCTCGACCTCATCGCTCTGAGCATCTTGAGGAGGGCGCGCAGGGTCGGAGGGGGATGAGTAGAATCCGATGGCCCTTTCCTTGGCCTGCAGTCGGACGAGGCAGCGGGTGTACCTGCCGCGATTCTTGGTCTGGGTGTCAAGTTTGACGAGCACGTCGCCCTTGAGCCAAGCCTGGAAGCCCTTGAGCCCGAGGTAGCCCACCTGAAAGGAGGTGGAGTCGCTTCGCGGGGCGATGTCGAAGAAGCTGTCGGACGATGGTGCGGATGATACTGGCTGTGAGGACGAGGCGGTAGCGGGGGGAGGGATGCCGTTCGCCTCGGAGTAGGCAGGCAGACGATGCTGCGCCGTGGTGTGCGAAGAGCTGGGCGACATGCTGAGCGAGGACATTGGCGTCGCACCGCCACGCACTGAGGGAGCGGGGGCCGTGCAGCGTGTGATAATGCCAAGTTGCGGGCGATGTAGTGCGTGTGGCTGAGCAAGGATGTAGGATGGAAGTGGATGATGAAGATGCGCCGAGCTGAGCGGCTGCAGGGTGAAATGTGGAGCAGCAGCGCCATAAATTTCGCGCAGACCCTGGGCTCGAGCCTTTTTTCTTTGCCTTTTTGGTGCCTCTTTTTCGGCGCTGATTTCTCAATCCTAATTTCTGCAATCGATTTGCTTCACTTGACCTCCAGCAACAGCCTCAGCCCGTTCGGCACTTGCGCAGCACAGTCGGAAAGAACAGCAGACGCAGATGTATTGGTATCGAGTATCGAGAGCGAGCAGCGCTAGTCCTTGGCGGCAGGGAAGGGGAAGGGCGGGTTGTTGGCGCGCGCGTCGGAGCGTCGCTCGTGGTCAAAGGGGAAGGGATTCTCCTTGCGCGCCTGTCGAATCAGATCGTCCAGTCCACGCTCTGTCACCGCTTTCTGTTGCGCCGGAAGAGCACGATCGAAAGTCAGTAGCTGTTCGCGGCGACAAGCGGCGTGAAGTGCATACATACCTTGATGCACGCCTGGTAGTCTTTGAACAGCTGGGCGCAGTCGCGCTCGTATCTCTGCATGATGGCATTCTTCCTGCCCTCGACATCCGAGTCGGCCATCGACGAAGCGTCTGTGGACGTGCTTGAGGACGAGCTGTCCGAGAACCATCCGGACTTCTTCTTGGTGCCCGCTGCGTTGGTGGATGAGGAGGCGGTGGAGGAGGTTTGGCTGCGTCGCTGCTGCTCCTGGATCTGATCGTCGCCGATGGCGAGGTAGTCCTTGAACCACAGGTTGAAGCACGAGTCGTAGCGGTGCTTGAGCGGCGTGCATTCCGCAGACATGGACGAGATGGCCCCCAACCCCGCTGCGCCTTTGGTCTCCCACTCGCCAGTCGAGGCGCTAGCAGCTGCCGATGCCGATGCCGGCACAGACGTCGCTGCACCACCACCACCAGCGTTGCTCGCTGAGCCTGTCGCCTCTACAGGCTCCTCCTGTGTCCGAGAGAAGAACATGGCTGGACCGGGTGATGCTTCGAATGCAAGCAACAGCCAGGAGGGCGTGACGCTTCTTCTTTCACAGCCTCCTGCACCAAGCGACCCGTGCATCGCGCGGCCCACGCCAATTTTTGTCAATGATGTTACGTCCCCCGAAACGCTTGCCCTCGCTCTCGTCGTCTTTCTTTCTCGCCATGCTTCTCGTCATCCTCACGATACGAACACCATTCAAAGTAACGACCAGCCACATTCAGTACCGCATCGTGGTTCATGACAATCAAATTTCACATCGAGTGCACCGAAACGAGCGCAGTGCGGCAGCTACAACTCCTATACCAAAGTTCTAACGCGCAGAGTCAAAGATGGGAACGAATGTCAGCATCTCTTGTCCAGCCTCTTTTCTTGTGACGCCGAGGAAGCCGAGAAAGCGCGGCGGCGATCCATCATATAGGAGCGAAAGACGTTTAGATGGAATGGGTGTTCGCATTGAGCCTGCAAGGACTCTAGATTTGAACTATGCATTGTTTTCGGATTATAATCCTTTGGATGCCGCGCCGTTGTGTGGTGCTGTCTCGTCGGCGTTCGAGTAGTTGGGGGGTTTTGCTTACCTTCTGCGATGTTCAGGGGTTGTTCTTGCTGAAACCGGACCCCAGCGCCGGTGAATGTGGTGAGGGAAGACGGGAGGGAAGGATGACGGCGGGCGCCGCTTTTTGTTTGACGCTTCTGCTGTCGATTTTTGCTTGGGGGCAGCGATTTTTTCAGCCCGTCGGACCGCAGCTGAACAGATCGCTGCTTCAGCCCGATAGCACTGAGCCGATTCGCCCGCAGATTTTAGATACCTCGTGGGGAACCGGCTCAGCTCCACATGGCGTGGCAGCTGCTGAGCATCAATTGCCGGATTCATTCGCACGACCATCTCCCTCCAACTACGCTTGTTACCGCTTCGGACGAAATGGTGCTGTCGGGTGCAGGCGCTGCGGCGCGCATAGTCGTGGTGGGCGTCGGAGGAGCCACGTGCTCCGGCAAGACGACGCTCGCCAAGCATCTGCTGCACATCCTCAACCCATCGTCTGGCACTGGCTCCCGTGGTACAGCGTCTTCAGGAAGCGACCGGGTACGCGGGATCGTGGACGCCTTCATACTGCATCAGGACGACTTTGCGCCGCCCGAAGCGACGTTGCCCGTGAACGAGCAATTTGGCGTGACCGACTGGGATCACCCACCCACAGCGGTAAGTTGGCGTCTCGCCTGACGATGAACATCCCACACACGAAGGCTGAACGCGACCGTCTCTCTCTACAGATCGACTACGAGAGGATGCGCACGACGATCGAGCATATCAAGGCCACCGGCTCGTTTCCACCAGAGTTTTCGTCGCACGACCATCTCAACGCACAGCCGGACTGTCCGATCTCGGAGCAGGTCTTGACCACGTGGCGGGACAAGTTCGGCTCGCTCTCTACCGACCACGGCGTGCGCATCATGCTGGTAGACGGCTTTCTTCTCTACTACGATGCGGCGGTCCGATCAACGATGGACGTCAAGATCTTCCTGCGCACGCCGCGCGCGGTGCTCAAGAAGCGACGCGACGAGCGCTTTGGCTACGCTACCGCCGAAGGAACCGTGTGGAAGGACCCCGAGGGCTACTTTGACAATATCGTCTGGCCCGCCTACGAGCTCGCCCATCGCGGCGTCTTTGAGGGTCACGACGTGGAGAACGGCGGACCGATCGTACCCGCACCCGACGCCGAGCCGGTTGCCGGTGGACCGATCGAAGGTCTCTGCGTTCTCGACGTCGCTCCGGCGCAACAGACGGACAGTGCAGCATCGACGTTCTCAAGAGAGATGACGCAGCTGGTGGACGAGACGTGTGCGGCGATATGGAACCACCTCACCGGGTCGCCGCCATGACTTGCGCAATACCATAGACTGCTACCGATATGAGCCGGATCAGCACGCTCATCCGGGGGTTTTGCGGGTGGTTTCCCGATCCCCGATGTGCGACTCCCGATGTAGCTTCCGGCCTGAGGAGCGGGGGAGGGGCGTGAAAAGGGGGCGCGGATAGGAGGGCGCGATGCGCTCGCTGTTGGAGCGCCCATGTGAAATGAGCTTCTCAGCTGCCACGTCTGCGCGTGTGCTGTTGGGGGTTGGAAAAGGCAGGCGGGCGCGGCTAAGCGGTGCGGCAGGCAAAATCACAAGTTGGAATTTCCAAAGCGTTCCAGCAGAGAGCGAGAGAGAGCGAGAGCGAGAGAGAGGGAGAGCCAGAGGCCAAATCGATACCGCTGTCAGATTCGCAATCTCGCACGGCCGCGGCTGAGCCCCAGCGGGCACTGCACCGCTCGCCAGCCACTGCGTCTTCTTAGGTCGCCGTCGTCATCGTCAACCCCCTCGCCGTCACTGCCACCACCCAAACGCCGCTCCGTCATTCCCCCCACCTGCATACTCCGCCATGTTCATCATCAACTGGTTCTGGGTACGTAGCCGGCCTTGCTCAATACGCACGCGCAAACCAGCACAGCTTGGTTCGCAACCTTTGGCTGACACTTGCACCTCGCACACTCCCGCTTCCGCTCTTGCAGGACATTCTTGCCCAGCTCGGTAAGTCTTGAAAGCAGTATGTGTGCTGGTGCTGCCAGAACCGTCCAGACTGACGCTTTGGTTCTTGCTCGACTCACAGGCCTGGCGCACAAGAACGCCAAGATCCTCTTCCTTGGTCTGGACAACGCCGGTAAGACGGTAGGTTATCGCCACCACCCGCCGACACCCACAATCAGCGCTCGTACTGACGGACCTTGGACTTGCACCAACCATAGACGCTTCTGCACATGCTCAAGAACGACCGTCTCGCCACATTGCAGCCAACGCTTCATCCCAGTATGTATCCGCCACCGTTGCCTGCATGTACATTGTCTCGCACTGGCGAAGCTGACGTTTTTCTATTTGCACACCAACAGCCTCGGAAGAGCTTGCGATTGGCCAGGTCAAGTTCACCACATACGATCTGGGCGGTCACCAGCAGGCGCGTCGTCTGTGGAAGGACTACTTCCCCGAGGTGGACGGCATCGTCTTCCTGGTGGACACGCAGGACCACGAGCGCTTCGCCGAGGCACGCGCCGAGCTCGACGCACTGCTCTCCATCGAGGAGCTCTCCAAGGTACCCTTCCTCATCCTTGGCAACAAGATCGACGCACCCGGAGCTGTGTCCGAGGAGGAACTGCGCCAGGCCATCGGCCTCTACCAGACCACGGGCAAGGGCAAGGTGCCCCTCAAGGACATTCGCCCCATCGAGATCTTCATGTGCTCCGTCGTCATGCGCCAGGGTTACGGAGAGGGCTTCCGCTGGATCTCCCAGTACATCTGAGCCACAATCCCTCGCCAATCACATTGCCTGTCCCTCAATTCGACACACACACACAATCTTGCTTCCGAAATCCAAATGTCACTGTACAATCGTCTCGCCACACAGCATAGCAGGCCCAGCGACAGACACGAGGCAGCAGTCGGGCAAGTGTTTGAATTTTTTGTTTCGGGAGCAGCACAAGCTCGACAGGGACGGGTAGAGAGTGCGAAAAGAGAGAGTGCGAGGAGAATATACACAGTCGGAGGTTGGGGGGGGGGGGGGGGGGGGCCCCAAAAAA